ACTGCTACTGCCTGCAGGGCCAGACCCTGTGTTCCACTGTCAGCTGCCCGCCTCTGCCCTGTGTGGAGCCCATCAACGTGGAAGGAAGTTGCTGCCCAATGTGTCCAGGTATCTAAGCCATGCCCCTCACATCTGTGAAGCTGTAACACTGACAGGCCCTGACATGGGAGCTGAGCCAGAGCCTGCTCACTCACGCACTAGTTCACCCAGGCTCAGTGTGTTGGGCACAGCCAAGGTCCTCCCGCATAGAGCCCTGGGGGCATCTAGGGAACCATGACCATCCAGGTGAGGGCCGGGATCGGCTCGCCTGCCAGGATTGCTCTGGTTCTTCTGACTTATATTCTCTAATATTTAGAGGGGTGACTGCCCTGTTGGTAACACCTGCCCTCTCAGAGGAGCATGGTTTCAGTGTGGTATTGGGCCAGCTTAGGGGAAAGGCCCAGGATCAGACACAGTTGGGGCCTTGCTTAAGAGCCATTAGACTTGAGTATATATCAGGCCCAACGTGGAAGACTCACCTTTAAAGAACATGGTTCTGGTTCATTCTTTATTCTGCTCATAAATTCTGGCTGGTCCCACATAGCACATGGCCACAGAGCATGCCCCAGCAACCCTTGTGGGACCGGTCCCTCTGCCCACGTCCCTCCCGTCCCTCACATCGTGTCAGCTGCTATCATTCATCTGGTTTCAAACTTCAGCCACCCCACAGCAGGCCATATCCTGTCTCAGACCTTCTTGTTTCTTTGGCCTCCTGCCTCCAGTCCCAGAAAAGTGGGACCTGTACCAGGGCATGATGGCTGAACCCTGCACAGGCAGCACTGACCACACGGCTCCAAGGGAGGGCTCAGGTCAGGACCAGACGAGGCCCTTGCCTAGGCGAGAGCCTTTCCATCTTCACCTTGGTCCCATGCTTTCTTGCAGGATCATATCAGAGAATCTTGCTCCGTTGATACAGCAGGCTGGGATCCACGCCACTTTAGAAGTGCAGCTGTAAAATGGGGCAGTTAGTTAAACCCAAAGTGTGTAATTGAGTTTCTGTACATGTTGGCCTTTGTTTAGCTGTTGTGCAGGTGAGACCCAGTTGAGCATTTCTAAAAATGTCCATTCATCCCCTGAAAGAATAGGACATCCTGCCAGGTCAGGCCGAGCCAGCTTCAGAGCCTTCAGCGGGGTGCTCCTCACAGTTAGTCTGATTGCTTTGTTCAAGGTGTACGAGAGTCAGAGATGCCCTCCAGGGATAGTTTATCACTTGCTGTGTGTATGGAGAAAAGGAAATTCTTAAGTGTTCTGAACAAAAAGAACAAGGGAAAAGATGTGATTTCCCATTGGAGATGTTTGTAGATACCACCTGTGTTTCACAACTTTATACCAAATTTTCTAGTAATATGCTTTTAATGATAGAAATGATGAAACAAGTGATTCAGCAAAGATTCACGGAAGGCCTATTCTGTGCCAAGCACTGTACTCTAGGCACTGGGGAGACACCATGTAGCTTCTTACAGTGTCACAGGGACAGGCAGCCAACAGGCGAATGGCAAACAGCAGACAAGCTGGGAGCTGGCTACAGAGGAAAGCACAGATGACCAGGCAGGGAGGAGCAGGGATGGGCTATTTTGTTTGTGTGCAATGATCAGGTAGCTCCTCACTGATGAGACTTATAAAAAGACCCAGAAGAATTGTAGGAATTAGGGGAAAGGCAGAACCTCTGGGTATAGCCAGAGCAAAGC